GTCATTCCACACTTGACAGTGTCATGTTATCTTGCAATGCTGTCATTTCAGCGCTTCGCTGCCAATCGTGAAGGCTCCTCCGATTTCCGACCAGAGATTATGCTTCAAACTGAGGAGCAGAATGAAGCAGCGAAGAATCTCGGCGCCCAAGTTGCCATCGGGAGCGAATCTGAGAAGATCTGAGGTCTATTCCCCCAGAGAAAATGGATTCGGCGGATGCTGAGCACATTTCTGGAAAACCGGACATTTGTCCGGATTTCCGAGTATTCTTCCGAAAAACCGGACATCTGTCCGAATTTTCGGACATTTTTCCGAAAAAACGGACAACGAGAGCGAAACGGAAATGTCCGAAATTTAGGAACTCTAATCATAACTCATAACCTAGAGCCTGGAACTTCAGGCAAAATGCCATGAATGCCTGAAAGAGCCTAATTTAGCTCCTGAAGCTCCGAATCGCCTATTCTCGCTTTTCTCTAGGCATTTTGCCTTTTACGGCCCTCCTTCCTTGCGACTCATGCGGAGATAGAGGCAAGGAGGAGAGATTTGTTGACGTTTCGACGTTCCGTCGTCCGAGCTTCCTCGCGATCAATACGCACCGCGACGTACATCCGAACGATCAGCTGCTGTTTATGTATCCCGGTCGGCGATCCCCGGAACGCTGTTCAGTCTACTCGGTTGCGTTTCGAATCGATTTTCATCTTTGTTTTTTCTCGTTTCGAATCGTGCGTATCGTCGAGATAATCGAGATAATCAGAATGCCAAAGCAAGGAAAGTGTCCGAGGAGAAGAATCGAAGTCCTTATGAAGCAGTTTGAAGGCGAGTCCCTCACTACGGATGGAGTCGTACTGACTTGCAAGCTGTGCGAGAAGGTTGTCAACTCGGAAAAAAAATATTTCGTCCAACAGCACCTCAATAGTAACAGCCACAGAGAGAGGAAGCAAAGATCGGCGAAGGAGAATCAGAACATCTGCCTGCTGTCCAACTTTGTAAAATTGTCGAACAAGGAAAGCAGTTTCCACATGGATCTATGCCAGATGTTAGTTGAATCGAATATCCCTTTGTATAAAGTGCAGGATTCGTCGTTCAGGACGTTTATGCAGAAGTATTGCAAGATCCCCACACCCGATCATACGAAGCTCCGAAAAACTTACCTTAAGAAGCTCTACGATGCTACTGTACAAAGAATTCGCGAAGCTGTGGGTGAGAAACGCATATGGGTGTCGGTCGACGAGACGACAGATGTCAAAGGGCAATACGTTGTGAATACGATCGTAGGTGCTCTGAGCCCCGAGGAGCCCTCAACTCCGTGGTTGATAGGGTCCGAAATCGTGGAACGCACGAATCACGCGAGTATAGCTCAAGCCTTCTGTAACTCCCTCAGCCTATTGTGGCCTGGTGGGATCAAACACGACAAAGTTCTTCTCTTCGTCTCGGATGCAGCCCCTTACATGAAGAAGGCTGGGGCGGGTTTGAAAGTCCTGTTCCCTAAAATGATTCACTTAACGTGTCTTGCTCACGCAATCCATCGAGTGTGCGAGGAAATCAGAGTATCCTTTCCCGAAGTCGATTGCTTAATCGCAAACGTGAAAAAAGTCTTTCTGAAAGCACCGTCCCGTGTTCGCGTGTTCAGAGAAAGTGCTCCCGATGTAGCCCTGCCGCCTGAACCAATTGTGACCCGATGGGGCACATGGATCTCCGCAGCCATGTACTACGCGGCGAACTTGGAGGATATCAAGCGTGTGCTGGAACAGCTCGATGGAAACGAAGCCGCGGCTATCGGGAAGTCGCAAGACCTTGTTTCCGACCCCGTTCTGAAATGCCGTTTGACCTTCATTGCTTCAAACTTCGCGACATTGCCAGACTCTATCACGAAACTCGAAAGTACCAAACAGCTGCTTGGTACAACGATACGAGTCGTAGAAGAACTCCGACAGCACATAGATTCAGCCAAGGGACCCATTGCGACTTCGATCCAGAACAAATTCCAACGGGTGATCCGCCTCAACGCCGGATACGATGTTCTACGAAAAATCCAGGATACACTCCAGGGTGGGACGTTACATGCCGAACTCTCGGAGTATTCAGCTTCAGAGCTTTTAGATTTCAAATACGCTCCTATAGCCAGTGTGGACGTAGAGCGCTCGTTCTCCCGATATAAGGCTCTCTTATCCGACAGAAGATATAGTTTAACGCCCGAAAATTTGAAATACCACATCATTCCGATGTGCAATGCCTTTGTGACAGAATAAACAGGATTCGATTAGTTTTCGAATCGCTCTGATATTCATCGACGTTTCTTCCAAGCAGTTTCCGTATCAGAATCTGTCATCCCTAGTGCCTTTTTCGGTGCCTTTTTCTTCAATTTTCAGTGCCTTTTTGCCTGCCTATTTTACGGTTTTTAGTGCCTGAAGTTCCAGGCTCTACTCATAACCAATCCGAGTGGAGAAGACAATTGACGGAAGAAGGATTGTAGGGACAGAAGGATCATTCGATCGCAGTCGAGCGACATAGCGATATAGCAAGCATCGTGCAACGTAAACCAACTCTAACGGCGAAGGAATGCAACCTCACCATGAGCGCAAGGCAAGATTCCTATGCTATCTATGGCGACAACAGGCACAATACAGGCTCACCGAGGTGTCGGGCGCGATATGTGACGTGCGCCGCTTGCCATCAAGTAGGCCATATAGGCCTCTAGGTACTCGGCATTTCGGCACCCGGGCACCAGAAATTGTTTGGTTGATCACGAGATCAAATTGGTAGCAGTGGTCGAGTGTCAGAAGCAGAGATGTCGTTTGGGCACGTTAGATCAAGGTGCACGGGAGATGTAGCGAGCGTGCACACAAAGAGTCTTGTTCTGACTGGCGTAGGCGCCGGTCGTGCTAGTGGTGGGCTCCTCGATAGGTCAAGGCCCAGGCAGTAGGCTGCCGAGAGAATAAACTTGAGAGTAGACCAGAACGACTTTTCCCTCTTCCGAGTATCCCCCCGGACCCTTATAGGAGATTGAGAGATTAAGGGAGATTGAGAGATCAAGGGAGATTGAGAGATAAAGGGAGATTGAGAGATTAAGGGGGATTGAGAGATTAAGGGAGAGTGAGAGATTAAGGGACATTGAGAGATTAAGGGAGATTAAGGGACATTGAGAGATTAAGGGAGATTGAGAGATTAAGGAAGATTGAGAGATTAGGGGAGATTGAGAGATTAAGGGAGATTGAGAGATCAAGGGAGATTGAGAGATTAAGGGAGATTGAGAGATTAAGGGAGATTGAGAGATTAAGGGAGATAGAGAGATTAAGGGAGATTGAGAGATTAAGGGAGATTGAGAGATTAAGGAGATTGAGAG